GCATTCCCAAAAGGAAAGTCACGAGAAGAAAATGTAATGGTCGAATTAGAATCGCTCGCTCGATTGCTGAGGCACAAAGGCTTCATTGTTGGTTAAACACCGAGGCAATAAAGAGTGAAACAAGTATCACGTTCAAACCTATAATAATTAGACAAGTATCTCTCGGTTCTATTAATAGTCCTTTGCACCATTTTTGCTTAATAATTCGCTTTGCTTTATTCGATCGACCATGTATGTACTGTCAATCGTTCTTTTACTCAGATTGGCCCTCAACATCCAGAAACCCAGCACGTGGCAGTCTCCCATCACGGTCTTCGACTCATAAAACGTACACCAAATGGCGACTTAGTCATTTTGGAGACATTACCTCTGGAGGACATCGTCTCGGTGAGTTCTCCAAGGGTTGGCGTGTGCGTAATGCAAATTGCGTCTGGAGTCAGGCTACCCTTGCACACGAATCGAGCACCACAGTTGACAGAGATGATCGGCACTTACATCAGAATGGTGAGTGAAATCTACTTATCCTGACATATTCTATCGGCTTAACGTCGAAATTTACGACGACGTAAGAATCCTGCGTAACAGACGACGTGACATCCCATTATTACAATATTCTTAGCTCTCGTCGTATCTCGATTTTTGTACTTTACTGCACTGGAACCAGTTTTCCCACAAAACAGGATACGCTATATAAGGCAGACAAAAAAGAATTTCAAATTTTTACGGTAAGCTGTGATTGACCGACTTCTGTTTGTCGTTTTCTTCAGCAATCTCTAGCAGAAAGTTTGCAGAATGCTCTGTAACCGTTACTTGCATCAATCTGCGTTTCAGAATACGCAGAGATCCTCGTTCTATACATACACGCGAATAATTTCGTGTCAGGAATGTAATTCAGTAGAAGCAAATAGCAAGAAAACAACTGGTACACGAAGCAATTACAGTTTATTTGATCCTTTAGTGAACACTGCACTTAAATTCATTACAATAAATGATCAAACACGGTATGCTACGTCTCCCCAGTGTTCATCCATGAATTCGATGGATGTAGGTTAATTTTATTTCGATCCATCGAAGTACAATTACTTCTGCTACACGTAAACCACGCGTAATTAACCACATATGCATCTGAACCTCCAATTCGTTCCTCAACCTGCCTATTATAAACTACAAAACATTCCACTGAAGCCACGGAAATATTCAAAGATACAAAACCAATTATGTCAAGGATCTTCGTTAAATCATCTGCATTCGCATGATGGATCTAATTGAAGCTCCTGTTCCCTGATTCCCTCCTAGTCAGAAAGAACCTTCGCCAGAAAGAACTCGGGAGCAAACGTCTCCACCCTGTCACCCGTCAGTCTGCCATGCAACGTTAACTATCAGGTCCGAACGAACTTGGAATCTGACAGATCACTCAAGGTATAAACGAACGATATTCGCGACACGAACTTCGTTGTATCGATGATCCGACTCTCGCGAGCAGCCAGTTTCCTTAAGCTGCCATCCCATCCATGGTAGCAGAAATTGCCAGATCCTCGAAGGTCGGCAGCTGCGTTCGGATCTTGCGCAATTAATCGCAGACACGCAGCCTCGGTGAAGTAACGCGATCGCACGTGTGGAAATCGGTACGTGGCTGTAATAAGCGCTCGAAGAGGGATAACGACGAGGAGGGGCAGGCCTCGGGCCGGACGTCCAACACCAACGACAGACATCGCATTCCAGAGAGATAATGCGTGGGTAGCGGAAAGCAAACCCACGATTTCCTCGAGAAAAGACGATCCGGGGTAACGACGTCCCGCGGGAAGCGTCTACGCGTGTCGCTGGAACGCAGAAAAACGGAATCATAGCCCAGAGCCTGGCGCAATCTAGCTGATAGCTCCGTTAGGATGAGCCCCAACCTTCAGCCTAATATCGCGCCGACGTGGTGGTGCACGGGGTTGATCAATCATTCCTGAAATGATCTGGATGTTCTTCCCTTCGGGTCCTAGGTTTCCTCGTTTTCTTGTTATTCGAGTCTACCGATCAGTTTTACCTGCTTTCTGGTTTTACGTTCATTTGTGGGATAATTTACGTGCGATCGTTTGCTCTCGGTGGAATGCCGGGGTGATCAAGCCGCGATTGGATCTGCGAAACTCGGTTTTAGAACCTTGGGAATTCTGTTGGGATTACGAGCGTGGAATTCGGAAAAAAAGCTGGCGCCTAATCTCTCGATTATGCTTTTCTTGTTCCTCATTGGTGCAGTTTCTTGGTCAAACTATAGCAGAGGTAACCCGCCGGGTTTGGTACGTGTATGTACAGTGGTTAAGCGCTAGTAATCGACGAAACGTGTGTCACGTTCCTGATAATTTCTGAACTGCTTTCGGCTTAGGTTAACGGGTTAATCAAATCTTTAATCACTTCAATTACTCACCCACGATGTATGAGCAACGGTTACTTGAAATATTGGCCCGAGGAGAAAGGAATCTTACGATGGCCTGATTAGATTAATTGCTTAGGGCAATGGTGCATCAAATGAAAGATTCGTTCCGAAGGAAAGGAAATCGAACGATTTTCTACTATCGAGAAAAAGCATGGTGGTGTTGTGAGTCCATGAAAGGACACTGAGCGAGTCTGGTTTCGTGCCTTTAATCCCGGTTAAGTGCCATTTATGTATTAATACCAAAGCTAAATGACCAAACCTGATACGCGTGGTGAAAGAAATAAAGAATTCGCGTGATTAGCATATGTTCTGGACAACTTTAAACCCTGTGATCAACTGGTTTAGGTAGACGAAAATGGTCTCACAGCGGGAACAAATCTGAGGTTCGTGGGGTTCGCGAAACGAAACCAAAGAATGTACTTAAGTGTACTATAAAAGTGGAAATTATTCGAAGTACAAGCTGCAACGCGTTGCAGGTTAATCCTATTCGTTCTAGCGTTAATCCATCAACGCATTAAAATTCTAAGCAACAACTTTCTACCAGGGAACCTTAATTCCAATTGGCTGCCGATTCAATGGATTTACCCAATGCTGCCAACGCGTAGAATAAAAAGCGAGATATTTCTCTACCTGTTAATTCCATATCGCACACTATGCATGCTATTCGAATGATTCCCGTTACGGAAACACTCGACACCGTTTCCAAACAAAGGTTATCAACGTTAAAAGAACGGTACCCGATAAGAAAAGGTACCCCAATTGCGAAATGAGTCTATACGCAACGATAGCCTGTAATCCTGTCAGGTGGCATGAATGGGATCACGATTAATTTTTATAAGAGACCCGTGGATCTATCGCCGAATCTACGAAGAACCGTTTTTTGATGCTTCGTTTAACCGTTATTTCAAAATCCTCTTAGATCCCGCGCCATTCTTCGTTCACTGATACCCTCTCGCTGAAGAATGGCCCCAGTGTCTAAAACTACGTCCATTTCGACCAGTTTTTACACGAACATCAACTCATCTACTTTCCAACCTGTCGTTTTGTAATCTAGAATTTACTTCGTAAAACGAGGTCCGAATAATCGTGGAAAAACGAGGAAATTTTATCATCCTGATCGCCAAGAAATGGCCTGGCATTAACACCACGATATTCGTGCGACACTTCAACCTCTACATTGAATTTTATTACGTTCACTGCGAACGTGGGACCAGTCAATCGATCAGACCTATCGTTTTACTTGCACATTGGCGTAGCCAGGCCCCGGTACCAGTCGCTCCAAAAAGATAAGCGGATTTCTCTCCCGAGCAAAAACGTCCCGCGAGTTCGCGGAATATCTTCATTCCTCTGTTTTTAATTCGTTAACTAACTTTCCATTTTTATCCTATACGCATCGCTTTCTTTTATTTATCCTTCATTTCCATAAGGAAAAGTTGCTTTCCAAGCTTGACTAAGTGCCAAGGAAATATGCGACCAAAAGGATGTCTCGCTACTGTCGGTACCATCCGAAGTTCGTGAGCTATATTTAGCAAACGAAGATCGTCATCGGGTCGTTCTTTATCAGAGACGATCGACAACTGTCTACGCTGATGATAGGTCGTCGATACCGTCTCCAGGGGAGGAGAAGGAAAAGAAGGAGGCATTGGCCAGCATATATGACCACTCACTGGAAACGCAATTTACACTAGGCGTTGCCCGAGGTTGCCTCGTTACATTACACAGTATCATGCCGTTAGAATTTCCAAGCCGATCGTCGCTAATTGGTCTTGGGCGATCGCTTGCGGTTCGACCACTTGCGTGGAGCTATTTCAAGAGCAAAGAGGCGTATTTGAAAAAAGATAAGAACCATTCGGTTCCGTTTCTGTTCAGCCTTGAGAGGAGCTCGGTAACGTCGGCAAGAATTCTTCCTGACATATTTTTCTTTCTTCGCCCATTTTTCCTCTCTTCATCTCTGACCAACGCGTTGCGCAAGACGCTCGTAATTCCAGGTAATATTTATTTATTTATTTCGCACGAGCCTTTATGACGTACGAGTTCACAGACCATTGCTTTTTTTTGGCTCTGTCTCACAGTCCAGGATCTGAAATACGTTGTAATAAATTCCGAGCCCGTAAATGTCTGGCTAAATAAGATAGAAATTTATTGACCGTCGTCCCATGGTTCGTTGTAACCGTTGATGTAAATGAATTTTGAGAAGGATACAAGTTTGAACCACTTTTCCTAACGACGACGCTTAATAACGATTCGTTGAAACTCGTGAGCTGCATTAATTCCTGTTAGTCGCAGATTTATCGACGAGTCGATGAGTTATTGTTACGACGAAAGAAGGATCAATGATCTAGATGAGGAAGTTAATGGAAATATTAAATAACCAAAAGAGCGTAACCTGTTTAATTCGCGATGGAGGCTCGCGGTAGAAGGAATTACGGTTTTAACGATGCGATTTCTAGAGCTGCTGTTGAAAATTGATTGCACGTGTATCGCGGATGATAGATCATTCGTCAATTACAGACTCGTCCTTGATGCTTAACAGGTGCTGCGAGAGAATGTTTATAAAACATCGTGTTCGAGTTATTCGCATCGAAGACGGCACGAAATTGAACGAAAACTTTCTTCGCGTGATGAATGGTCCAGGATACATTAAGTATTCCTAAAGGGAATTTGCAATTCAGGAGAAAGATTTACGGTATAATTTGAGGCGAGATCGCAGCTTAAATTTCTCCATTAATCAGATTTGCTTAATACAGAAGTCACTTAGGGGGCGTACATCTCGCTGCCTTCGTCGTATTTTTCTACCAACTGGCAGTCGTAAGAAATTTTTCCGGAAAGGAATTCGAATGAAATTCCGTGCCTCGGCGCAATAAGGAATCGTAGTGTTCACGGTGTGTATGGAATCGTGAAGATACGTAGGATTTAGGTAACTCGGCAGTCAATTTATCATTCATCGTGTTCAACAAGTGCGTACGTCGAAGGAAGGGAACAGATCGACGGGCATAATTAAATTCATTAAACTCGGGATCACACGTTGGGCGATGAGAATGGGGATTTAATTGACTATTATTATGAGGGATTCTTGGAACACGCA